GAGGTGAAGCAGTTACAGCAGAATTTCAGGGCACGGTTCTATGCCTCATTCACCACCTGTTGTATCGCGTTATCGCATATAGTAACGGTTAATATCTTATTTTATATATAACGTTTCGTTTGACATGTCATGTAAAATTATAATCTTAGAATGCTGTAATAAGGCTTCAGGATAAACCGCATTTTTCTCGTGCCCCGAAATGCTGGAATGTGTTGTGCTTGGATTTTGAAGCTATTGTACGTAGGATTTGAAGTACTCACAGAGGTGGTAGGCTATAATGCTATTTAGTCCGCTAAAATTCGACTTTTCGGAGGAGCATGTTGAATCCATCTTCAGGGTCGAATAGACCGAACAAGAAACCAGAGTGAAAACAGGTGGAAAGCACTGTAAGTCTTTCAAAGGACTACACAGCGTTATATAGAACAAAAGATAGAACTGTACTTACTACATGTCTTGTCAGCCTTATTAAAAGGTATACATAAGCATATGGGAACAGTTGACTCGTTTGTTTTATAACGTATTTAGTGGCGGTTTGTTACTTGTCGCTTTATATCCACGAAGTAATCGTTCAGACCGCCGGTCACGGTAGCCGAGCGGTCTAAGGCATGTACTGTCTTCGCTCGCATGGAAACCGGGATCGTGGGTTCGAATCCCACTCAGGGCATGGATGTTTAGTTTGTGTGTGTGCGTTTTTTTCTGTGTTTGTATACAGGTAGAGGCCTTGCGGCGAGCTGATCACCCGCCCAAGGAGTCCTACCGAATGTGTAAGATCTAGAAAAACCGAAGTGAACGGAGAAGTTCATGGAGGTAGGCCTAGGCCCACTGGGGCTGTAGTGTCACGGGGAAAAAAAATCGTTCAGACCGGACTGTTTCGCAGTGTTGACCCACTGTTCACCTGCCGTGACTGACGAAGACAGGAATATTATTCAGAATATCCGGCATCCCGGCTCACCCTCGACTCGATACTTCCCGAACCGACGTTCGGAATGTTGGCGCTCACTTCACATGTTCGTACACTATTACTGTACTTCGCGAAGTACCATATGCGGTACCGCAGTACTTACAAAGCAGTATATGAAGCCTGTATATTCCTGTACGGATACACTCATGTTAACACGTTGTTTTCCTATTAAGAACACAATGAAATGCTTCGGTATATCGCTGGATGTTGGTTGACATTCGTATTATCGTAAAATTGTCTAGAAAATATGGGAGCCTTCACTTCCTGCTACAAGGAGAGCTTTACCGTTATCGTAAAGTGGTGTTTTTTTTAAGTATACTGTTCTGAGAATTGGCGCGTTGTGCAAGCAGTACTACTAGTTCGATTGGCTTACTCTTACACCCACAAGATGATGCAGAACGTTCCTCCTAAACATCGGAACTCTTCTGCGAGATTACATGGCGTCATTCCAGAAGAGACTACTCTCACCGATGTGACATCCTCACATAAGCATCGTGTGTCCATCCATCCATCTATGAATATGTTTATCTACCCATGTACGTACGCTTGCATTTATGCATGCTTGTTAAAACCTGATGGTTTAATTCACGACACATAGCTGGGAACAGATAAAACTACCAGGATCTTCTAAGGAAGGCTCTGGCTCGAAAAGGATATTTTGCCAAAGATGATGATATGGCTGAGGATATAAATGTTACTCATATTGCCCTATATACTTTGATGTGCTTTTAATGTACTGATGTACGAGTATCACTTTTTATACTATGCAGCCCATTACAGTTCCTGTAAAAGTAACAGTTTAAGTAAGATCATTTTAGGGAGGCCGCGCCATAGCTCAAGCGGTTAGTCGCTGACTTCCCACCGCGGCGGCCCGGGTTCGATCCCGGGGTCTGGTCATGTGGGATTTGTGGTGGACAAAGTGGCGCTGGGGCAGGTTTTCTCCGAGTACTTCGGTTTCCCCTGCCAATCTTCATTACACCAGTTGCTCCACAATCACCCTCACCTATCATCTGGGGCTGGTACAATAAGCAAGAAGTGGCCGCAGTACAAGGAACTTAGTCCCACCCCACTAGCAATAAAAAAGATAATTTTTAAAAGTTCGATGATTCACAGGAATTACTAACAAAATACTGACTTCAAATTATGATCCTGGACAGTGTAAGTGTATAAGGAATACACAAATAGCTTACCGAAGCTGTAGCAGTTTAACAGTGAAACAGAAGTAGACTGTAAAGGGTTCTGACGATGGTCTATAATACTCAGAATTACTGGGCTTTTGGACTTCGTCCATCATCCGGTATTCTATAAACGAGAAAACGTTTCGGAAAGTGGATCTGTTTCCATCCTCAGGTGAGGGGGAAGACACCTGTTCTGTTGGGTCTCTTAGAAAGAGTGATTGAGGTTAGCTATTTGTAAGGGACCCAACAGAGTAGGTGTCTTCCCCCTGAGGACGGAAACAGATCCAGTATCCGAAACGGTGTGTTTTCTGGTTTCTAGAATACCGGAAGTTGGACGAAGTCAAAAACCCTGTAATTCTGGCCGACGAGGTGACGTGAACCGTTGTTAAACGCACGTGAATTCAAAACGCCGTGTCACACCGGTTGAGGAAAAGGCATCACAAATTCTGTGCATTAAAGAAGGCAGACTGCCACGAGCTGGTTATATTCGACGAGCGAGAGAGTACTTTATGAACAGAATGAAGAATTGAGCGTACAAGGAAAATCGGCTGATAAGGTTCTGTTATCAAATAATGCAATTCTGGCTCATGTTATCGACGCCGTATAAGTATACTGCAGGTGAGAAAGTGATAAGTCCAATTTGGCATATGCTTTTACATTGTCAAGCTTTCTTTACGTGAATCAATCGATGCGAGAGCTTTCCTAATATGACTGGCACAAAACTGGTCTGACCTCCACGTCACCGTGAACGAGGTACAGGAGATCTGTTTGTAACGGAAGCCCATGGATCTGAAATCTTTTGGAGTAATTAATAGGGTTCCATTTTTGAACAGGACACATTGATGATTCTCGCCGATGGTGAACCAGTACAATGAATTCTGCCCATACGGGAGCCCAAAGAGATATCAACGTTTTTAGCCTTCTTTCCTTGTGTAAAGAAAGTAGGCTTATGCTATCACCATGCTGTTTGTGTCCCTGTGTTAACTTTTGAATGCCTGAACCAGGTTTTATGAAACTTATTATTATTATTATTATTATTATTATTATTATTAGAGGGGGTGGGTTTCCCCATGCACTTAGTCCAGTTACTGGTCCATTGTGCATCCCCCTTTAATTTCTACTGTCGCCATACCCTACCGGTACTGGTGCTTGCTATCAGCCCCGTTCAGCCAACGAGGTCGGCCGTCGGTACCTGATATTTCCCCCATCTACCAGAGGCATTGGGAACTACTTGGGCGGGAAATCCTTGCCTAATTTTGCTCAGAGGTCTCCTAGAGACATGAGGATCTTTTACGTGCCGTAAATCTACGACACGGAATTTTTCCGCCCTTAAAAATTCCACGACCTCCACCGGGTTTGAACCCGCGTACCTTGAGTCATGAGGTGGGAACGTTACCCCTAGACTACGGAGGCCGCTTTAATGAAACTTGGTATGTGTAACATAGCACCTGAACCCATCTCATCGGGGTGCTGCAAAAATCCCACCCATCGGTCTGTGTTTCCGTATGTGTATCCTTCCTGTCGTTGCTAGGCAAAGGCTCCGTAAAACGTCGCGGAATTTGATACGCACTCAACAATAGAATAATTGTTGGACGCGTTTTCTGTGCGGTCCGTGTCGTATCAAAGGAAAGCAGGCGGTTAGTTCCTTCCAGAACTTGTTTCTGTTTCAAAAAGGGTTCGGTTTGCTGAACCGTACACTTCCCTTGTTTTTACGTACTTCTTTGGCGGTGAAGCAGTTACGGTAAGTCTTGCTTCCAGTGGAATCCAAGCAGATGTTAGTATTTTTCCCGTTAAAAACAGGTCCAATTTTATTGAACATCACAGATTCCACGTATGTCTGCCCCGAATTAGGAATTCATGCTTCATATGCGTATGTTGCTGAATGCTCTTTTAAATCGTCCCATTGTATTGCTTTTATTGGCCTGCTTTCCTTGAAGAAATGAAAATAGGTTTACGAGAATTCCATTCTGTCTATAGGAGTATATATGCCTGTGAATCCCCCATACGAAGTTTCGAATGTCTGAACCAATCTTTATTATGAAACTTGATATATGTATTGTGGTACCTTAGCACATCTCAACGGCGTACTTCATAAATCCCTTCCTGCACCGTGTGTGTCTGTATTAATATCCCGCTATCGTTGCTGGGCAACGGCTCCGAAATAACGTTGCAGCGACAACGAATACACATGCAGCAGTGGAAGAACTGTTCGACGCGTCGTTTTCTGTACGGTCCGTCGCGTATCAAGGGAAAGTAAGCGATTAATTCTTCCCAGAACTCTTGTTTCCGTTTCTGCTCTCTGTAGATGGGCCAAATGATTTGCTGACGGCCGGTCTTGATTATTTGCCGTTTGACTTTGTTCCTTCTCATATAAGCACAGTCAGAAAACAAATTACTTGATCAGGTTCCGCTGTGGACATATTTTGTTGTTAAAAGCCTTATTATTAATGCGATAGCTTTTTAAGGAATTTATTAGTAATAAGGGTAATATTGACCGCCTCTGTGGTCTAGAGGTCAGATTTCCTGGCTAGAGATCCAGAGGTCCGGGTTCGATTCTCGGCGCTACCAGATTTTCTGAGAAGTAGTGGGTCTGGAACGGGGCCCACTGAGCCTCGTGAGGATAATTGAGGAGCTATTTTAAGGAAACAGCGGCTCCGACCTAGAAAACCGAGATTATCTGCCGTGGGGATTAGTTGCACTGACCACGCGACACCCTATCCGCAAAAGTTGGCATTAACTTCAGCGACAGGCGGCGGTCGCTCGGTCGGTATATTTCGCTTGCGGTCTAAAACCATGGAGTTTGTTTGTTTGTAAGGATAATATTAAGATGCGTTTTAGAAAACCAGGCTGTCGGTGTTGACTTTATTGAATTGGCTGAGGTCAGAGTGAAATACACTGTGTACTTACATGAACACGGGATGAACTTTCTGGTTCAATAAGAAAACGGGATTTCCTGTCCATCTTTATGCCAGCCACTCGAGGATCCTATGCCATACGGTTTTACATTTTAACTCAGTTACAGAGTTGTTGGACCACAGGTGTGGACACTTCTATTATGTGACTCTCTTAACGGTCCTGATATTATTACAGCTCACTACTGCAGTTTTCTTTGTCCTGTTGCAGCTTTCACTCGGTCGCTGTGCCCTCAAGTTATTGATTGGTTGCAACACTAATAAATCCCTTCACAGCAGGTGCGGCAGTTGTTGCAAAATTCGGCGTTCCACTTTGTGGCTTCGCGATACTGGAGTCCCCCTCAGTTTGTGTGGGTTGGATTTGTTATACCGTGTCAAGCTTCTGAAATGTAGATCAAGAGGAAGCAGTGACACAAACCGTATGCCGTTCTGAGTGTCTAGTAATCAAAATCAAACACTCTACCCTCGTGATTCAGTAGAATACCTCGACAGTACCTTCGAATACAAAGTAATGCGTCATCCTTGAACAAACTTCAGCCGTAAGTGATATGGCCACCCCTACATTTTACAACTGTCGATTGCGCCAGCGAGTAATGGTGGCTCAGGGATGTACAACTACTGCTATTAAATTATAATTTAAGGTAATGAATCTGTTAACACGCAAACGTAGATGGCTTTAGCTTTCTATTGAGTTGTAAGCTAATGGATACCACTGGATGAGTTACTGAATCACTTACTAATTGGCCGAATGAAACGCTTTTGTTTCATTGCGGCGTTCAGGCGAGAACTAAATGATTTTGATCGGGTCTAAAAAGTTACCTGACACTAATTAATTTAAAGCCTGCTTATAAGGGAAGCCAAACACGAACATTTGTCTGTTTCAGGCTTACATTTAATAACCGTCGATACAGCTTCACTGATGACTAGTGTTTTAGTGAAAACCGTTACATGTTTCTGTTTCATGGTACACTAACCAGAAACTGTATTATTGAAATGTAATATTATTTTTTTATCTACCTTATTGAAATGTGAATTCAGTTCTCAAAAGGTTTCCACTCTATTGTACATGGCAAATTTTCTGTGATGTGTCATATAAATATTTCCAAACAAAACAAATTCATACTGGTTGATAATACTACATGAAAGTGCATGTGTACCGTGAGGATGTATGTAAGTGCTATTATTTTAGTTGGCTGTGTATGTAGAATGTGCTCTCTTCTAAATAGTCATAATATTAAGAATGCAATAACCAAGTTTCAATGGCTGATAAAGTTAGTCTAATCGAAGTAAATGTGATCACACGTTGTCCCTTGAGATCTGGGCTGTGTCATAGTCTGAGGTTAACATTAATTTCATTCAGTGTGTCACATAGTACTAATTTGGTTTTGGTTCTGTGGGACTTTTACTCCAGAGTTGAATGTTATGGTGTTAATGTCTTTTGTTATTTCTGGAATATTCTTATTAAAGGTGATTGATTACTTGTTGAGAATTGACCTTAACAATTCCCACTTCATATCTAATGTTAAGAAGATATTGGGAATGGCGATTATTCATCTGTCTAACTATGTTAAGGTATTTTTAAATTTGGGATTGACGGAGGAATACGTTTAGAAATTTGATGTGTAAAGCCGGAGATTTGTATTGTATTGTTATTGTATTGTATTGGAGAGGGTGGGTATCCCCATGTACTTAGACCAACTGTTGGTCCATTGTGCGTCCCCCTATGATATTCTACCAGTCTCTATTCCCTACCGGTACTGGTGCGTGCCATCAGTCCCGACTCAGTCAGCCAGCGAGTTCGGCCTCTACTGGCTGAGCGGTATCTCGATGCTTCTCCCATCTACCAGAGGCGTTGGAGACTACTGCTGGGCGGGAAATGTCCTGAATTTGGCTCAGTGGTCCCCTTGGGACATGAGGTTCTTTTACGTGCCGTATAGCTACGACACGGGACCCACGGCTTAAAGTCCCTCCCGGAGGACTTGTTCCCTGAATCTTTCCGCCCTTAAAAATTCCACGACCTCCGCCGGGTTTGAACCCGCGTACCTTGAGTCACGAGGTGGGAACGTTACCCCTAGACTACGGAGGCCGCTAAAGCCGGAGATACTATTCTGTACCTGAACTCAACTGTCGTGCTCTTTCCGATGTAGATGCTGTGATAAAAATGTGGGCCATCTTAGTGCATGAATGGATTTGAACAAACCTGACTCGGCTTTCGAATAGCGAGTTTATTTTCTTTAAGTATAATTTCGTCAAACGAAGAGTTCTTGTCAAACTAGTTGTCGCTTAGTCGTTCCCAAAATCTCCTATCGTGTCCGAATATTAATGACTCTTCAGATATTTGCGAGGTCCTATCTTCAATCAGACCTACATTTTCATATCCAATTACGATCCATTGTAATATTATCCCCTCGTTTACTCCTAGTTTTCCCAAATGTGTTTCTTCCATATTTTCCGATTCAGATTTTGTACCTATCCTCCCCATAAACGTGCTACACGTTCAGCCTTCTCTTATTTGTCTTCATTTAGACACTAATAAAATTTGGTCAGGAGCACTAGTTATGAAGTTCCTCATTGTGCAGGTTTGTTCATTCCTTCATACCTCATATAAGCGGAAATTTACAACGAAAATAATCTCGATGCCATTTCGAATGGCAAGAATATTACAGTCCTTTCAGCCTTCTGTTTCTGTCGCCACACGACAAATTCGTGTCATGGGACCGGTGTCATCATTTCGAATTAATGTGAGCGTCTGTAAACTGAAGCAGTAACCTTATTGCCTCGAGTGTAATTAGTCTACGCATTTTAATCGAATAGGTAAGCTCGTTCGGTAATGCTGCTCATTTCCTACGGGATATACTGTGTTCGAATGTTGTTTCCATTTCGCTGTATCTGTTTATCCCCTGATCTTTGACGTCTGAAGTTGATAGCTCTGACGGCTATGACAGGCCTACAGGGTGTCCCACGGGAAGGTTATAGTTACTCTGCTGGCCACAAGAGCTCGGCATTGGGCCATATCCCGAGACATCCGAGTTCAGTTTTCAAATGCTTAATTAAATAACTTTTAAGATACGTAATTGATATTTACCTTTCAAGTTTTTCTCCAAAATTGTGTTGACGGAGCGCCGTCTATTAACCTGCAAGTTAATTAGAATGTGGCAAGACAAGACTCAGTTAATTACGTCTGATATAGCAGTACAGGACTCCACTGTCTTTGGAATAAGCCGTAGATGCAATGGCTTCAGTATTTGTATTTTTGGTGTAGAACATATGCTGTAACGCTCTTGGAGAAAGCACACAGATTTTGAAGTAGATTCTAAATGGCTCTGGCGATGGTAACACTCGAAATTACGGTATTTTTAAGTGTGTAGTGTACCGGACGATGGATAAAATAAAAATCCCAGTAATTTTGGTATTTACTTTTTGTAAACAGAGGTTTGTAACAGCCGTACAAGACCTATCACAAGAAACCATATAGATTTATATAGACTTAATAAACATAAATATGTAATAAAAGGTCGAAGATTTGTGCTGTAAACATGGTGCTGTCAGCCACAAACTAGTTTTATATACGTATGCATGAAATTTATTGTGCCAGGCCCTTGAACCACTCAGACAATTTGTACGAGAAAGTGGTCTTGTGACTACAACATAAATAAACTGTTAAACTAATATTTCCATATGGCTGTTTAACTGGATAATTTACATTGTCGAGCGGAACCATTATTTTGGGCAACAGCTGGAAGAGACGGTCGATGCAAGCGGACATAGTTTAGGCTTTTTAAAAACAGTATCAAATTATTCTCCTGCAGACTCAGGAAGGACCTTTTTCGATATCGACACGTGTCCATAGCAAGATCTCAACCGTAACCTCCCCCACTACAATCCAGGAATGCCAGTCATTAGATTGCAACACAGATATCATGTTTGGACATTATCCATCGCCTCGTCTTTATCTAAACACCATCCTGCTTTTTTTTTTTTTTCAAAACAACATTTCGGAGACTGGATTCTGTCTTCGTTTTCAGGTAAAACCTTCTCAGTTGGGCACAGTCGTTAGAGCTAGTCGATTTTCAAAACAGCGTTTCGGAGACTGGATTCTGTCTTCGTCTTCAGGTAGAACCTACTCAGTTGGGCTCTGTCGATTGGGCCCAACTGTGTAGGTTTTACCTACGAAGACAGAAATCAGTCTTCGAAACGCCGTGTTTTGAAAAAAAAAATAAACAGGACGGTTTTTAGATAAAGACAAGAAAATGGATAATGACCAGAAACACAATATTTGTACCAATGTACCATCGTCACAAACTTTTAGATCTTAATTAAATTGCATTGTTCAGTGCACATAACAGTTACGTATTGATTGTGCAGAACATTTGACGTTACGAGATGTAACTTCTAGAATTCCTAAAGAGTATTTAAATTGTAGAGACCTGCGATGGACTGAATTTGAGACCGGAAAGGTTAAGCAAGAAATGACAGCAGAGTTTTTGCGGGAAGAATGGACACTGAAGAGCGTGAGAATAGCATTAATTTTCAGTCGGAGTTAAATGGTTTAAACTGACACAAAGTGAGGCTCAAATGAGAAGCTTCTCTTGTATCGTTGTTGGAACGTACGATAATTAATTGTAAAAACAATATTTAATGTATTTAATTATTTGGTATGTAGGTAACGCCCTGGATCTTCAAAGCATGTGGCTCGAATATTGGGCCTATAACCCGCTGTCATGCTGGGGGGATTCGTGGTCTATCATGCTTCATGCAGACGAATACAGGTGCCGTGCTTTTAAATATGTCACGACCGCTTCCTTTCAAATGCTTACCTATCCACAATTCATGATGCTTCATTTCATTTGGCCCTCTGTAACTTTGCTATTGAAACAATGTCGGTGTTTAACACAAGGATCGATTCATGTTCAACCAAGAGTGGTATATGATAGGATATTCACTCCACTCCCTTTTCGTAAGCTAGCATTTGCTTACCTTTTATGGAAACTGAAAGTTAATAACATGTGCACAAGAAGACGCGTCTGGTCCTGTTCTGAGCCAACTAATCCAGTCCACTTGTTTGATCAAGAAGAGTTCTAGCTTCAGGGTATAACGCTGTATAGGCCCATTGAAAGTCAGCCGATGTTTGGGAGGAACATGTCGCCTCCATCTTCAGATCTGAAGGATGAGCCAAGCAAGAAATCGGAACGACTCAGACATGAAGGAAAGCTGGTTTCTTCCTTGGCTTGCTCTTCAACCCTGAAGGTGGAGGCGACATATTCCTTGGTAACGTCGGTTGTCTTTCAGCGGACCACACGGCGTATTCTTCCAGAGGATGCAGCTCCAGTAACCACCTCTGTGGGAACCTCGAATTCTTTCATCCAATTTAATGTTACCCTT